CCCAGGCAGTACTTCATTGGTGTGCTGGACATTGCTGGCTTTGAGATCTTTGATGTAAGGAGCAAGGGTTTGACACCACAGTCAAGCAATGGGCAAGGAGGGGTCAGGAGGACACAGGAGCACACAGAGGACTAAGGCTCACACAGCTATGAGCCAAAGGGGTGGATGCTCTTGTAGAGACAGTGGTCTGGCAAGTTCACAGTGTGTTTCCTGTTCTGTGAATGCAGTGATGATGCAAGGACTTCTGTGTCAGAACACAAAACCCCCTGATTTTTGTTCTGAGACCTGGGAAATTCTTAGGTGGGAGACTCAGGAGGTTTCTACCACCCAGCAGCTCAGAGAACTGACACCATGGGGCTACTGAGCTTACCAAAGACGTGCAGCTGAGTAGCACAGTGAAAAAGAATTGACACTTCTGGCTTGATTTGCAAAGTAATAATGAAAGTGTCCTTCAAGGACAGTGAGTGTTAGAGTAAAAAGACATGGTGGTATAGTAGGGCTGGGACTGGTATTTCAACTTCAAACAGCCTTAGGAGAATGGCAGAAAAGTTCTGTGTGTTTTGGCACACCTTGAGAACCTGTGCACCTTTCCTTGCTTTGGGCAGTTCAACAGCTTTGAGCAGCTGTGCATCAACTTCACCAATGAGAAGCTGCAACAGTTCTTCAACCACCACATGTTCGTGCTGGAGCAGGAGGAGTACAAGAAGGAGGGCATTGAATGGGAGTTCATTGACTTTGGCATGGACCTGGCTGCCTGCATTGAGCTCATTGAGAAGGTACCTTTCCCTTGCATGATATGATGGCTGTTGGAATTCAATGGTGTTTCCAAGGCACAGTCAGATCCAAAGTCCACAGACAAATTTGAGAAATAAATATCATATCACCTGACCTCACCAAAGTACAAAGCCCCTTGTAGCTGCTTTTCCCCATATTTTTCTCTTTATCATTGCTTCCCCAATTCTACAACGAATTCTCATGTGAGCTGGATAGACATTTCTACCAGTTCCATGAAGACAGGCTGCAGGGAGGCAAGGGAT